GTGAGTTTTTTAAGCCACCGGGTCCGGGACACGAACCGCGGTCGACTACGTGGGAGTCCAGCGACATAGCCATTACGCCAACTGCTGGTTCCCAATGCCCGGTGTGAGTTTTAAGCCACCGGGTCCGGGACATGAACTGCGGTCAACTACGTGGGAGTCCAGCGACATGGCCATTACGCTAACTGCTGGTTCCCAATAGACTATTTCTAAACAACAGAATAATGCAAATATTGAGCAGATAGCAGCATTCCCATGTACTCCATAGCTCAGAGTTCCTTGACCCAGCATTTCACATTCTGATGATTGGCTGGTTAACTTAGGGAGTCGCTAGCGATACATTGTTGTCAATTAAAGTCAGGGGATGTTTTCAGAGTCCCTTGGTTGTTACTTAATGTCCTTTCGTGTTCCAGAGTCCCTTCAGAACAACCATATTATATTATTTATCATGTACCCTTAGTTCCCCTCTGGGCTGTGACGTGACCAGACAGCGTGCAGAGCATTGGTCGGGCAGAGTGTGGAATGCCCCTCCATTGAGATGTGGTGCTTTTCTTATCATCAGACTGGGATTGTGGGTTTTGAGCAGTTCACAGCAGCAAAATGCTGTTTTCACCATAAGGGGTCTTCAAAAGCTCAAGGAAAATGCACATTATGAAAAAACTATGGGGACCAGCAGTTAGCATAATGACTATTTTGCTGGACTCCCACATGGTTGACTGCAGTTCGTGTCCTGGACCCGGTGGCTTAAAACTCATGCTGGGCGCGTGTGCGTGCATGCCCAAGATCCTGAGAGGAGAATGGAAGAGAAGGGATTGCGGCGTGGTCATCCCCCCTGGGGGGGTGATTTCTCGCTTTCTGTCTCTCTGTCTCTATCTGTCTGGTGAGCGCACGCGCCCTATAGCAAAAACCTCTAAAACTATGCAGGCTTTTCAGTTTTTCTTTTTTTAAAGAAAGAATTACTTATTTAATTTTATTTATTCATTCACTTATTTTAATTTGACCAGAGAGAGTGACATAGAGAGAGAGAGAGGGAAAGTGAGAAAGCAAGCCACCAGGTCTGGGACTTGAATCGTGGTCAGCCATGTAGGAGTATCCAACGCCTTAACCACCACGCCACCTGCTGGCCCCTGGGTAAACTCCTTGAAGTCCCTGCATGTGTGTACATGGCTTAGGACGCTCACTGTTGACCTGTCACCTGGCTGAGTATCTGGTTCTCCTGTAAAATGACACCCCACACTCCCAATTTCCATACTGCACTTGTTAGGAAACTAGTATTTTTCACTTACACAAAAGCTTAAAAAGAAAACCCCAAATCCCAATGTGGCTTCTTATGCTGCTGAAAAATAGGACCCAAATATATGAAGACAGACGTGCCCCCCCCACACACACACACACACTCTATCCCAACTCCCACAATTCTCAGAGCCTGCACGATTCGGGCCTTCGTGCATGTGGCTGCCCACCGTGAGAATATCGCCACTCTCCCTCCCCGGCCTTCCACCCTGGCCTTGAGGGCCCAGCCAGAAAGGTTTTCTGCACAGGGACCGAGCCGTTAATCCTCTGCTAAATTCCGAGTAGCTCTTGGTGCTGACATAGCCTCCCTCCTTTTTGCTGTAGGCACATGTTCAGTTTGTTAGAATCGTTCACACTTGCCCTTGGTGTAAAGGGTTCACGGAAAGCCAATGAAGAATCAGATAGCCAAAGCCTGTGGGGTCAAGTAGG